TTCAGCTGTCTGGATCCAGCCCAAACGACAGATTTTTTGTTCGTTTTCTCTTTATGTCATTTCCAGGGTTAAGCTTGTGGTTAACGACAACTAACACAGGCACAGTCCACTCTTGTTACTTCGGGCTAAATCCACACAGGATTAACTTCTAGCTATGGAGCACCATTGCCACGTGGACCTGCCAGCACCCTGCCAGGTCACTAAGCATGCCCGTTAATTACACAGCAAACTTCACTAGATCAACAAATGCAACACGGCGAGCAGTAAGTCACTGCAGCCGGCTAGGAGGAGATGCCACGAGCCGTGTCCTAAGGCTCCTCTGCCCCAAGCCTGGAGAACGTTGCCGCCTCATCAGAGACCGCAGAGACCACCTGGCTGCGCAGGAGTCGCAGCCGGCCTCTCCAGAAGAAGGCACCTCGCCAGCCCAGCCACGTGGAGCTGCGCTTGAAAGCCAGCTTTGAGCTCTCTTCGCTCAGGCAAGCGCTGTAACTACAACTCGTATCATACTCACAGACTCCTTCTCTGGTTCCACTAATTTTTAACTATTCCCCTCCAAAGCGGAAAAGCTTCCAAGGGGAGACCTGGGAGACCTCTCGCACACACCGTCCTGAGCCCAGCAGCTGAACGTCCATGGGATATAAAGAGACCAAGTTTGGACAGTGACAATTCACATCCCACACAGTTACATTTTGACGGCTGCTTCTAGCCCTGCATTATCAGGGCTTTTAATCTTCCTTTTTTTTTTAAAAAAACTTTTTCTGCTGCTGCAGATATGTGCTGAGAGTGCTTACAAGGCGAGGAGCTTACAGGCTTGGTAAGCTGGAGGGAGTTGCCGCCTCATCAGAGACCGCAGAGACCACCTGGCTGCGCAGGAGTCGCAGCCGGCCTCTCCAGAAGAAGGCACCTCGCCAGCCCAGCCACGTGGAGCTGCGCTTGAAAGCCAGCTTTGAGCTCTCTTCGCTCAGGCAAGCGCTGTAACTACAACTCGTATCATACTCACAGACTCCTTCTCTGGTTCCACTAATTTTTAACTATTCCCCTCCAAAGCGGAAAAGCTTCCAAGGGGAGACCTGGGAGACCTCTCGCACACACCGTCCTGAGCCCAGCAGCTGAACGTCCATGGGATATAAAGAGACCAAGTTTGGACAGTGACAATTCACATCCCACACAGTTACATTTTGACGGCTGCTTCTAGCCCTGCATTATCAGGGCTTTTAATCTTCCTTTTTTTTTTAAAAAAACTTTTTCTGCTGCTGCAGATATGTGCTGAGAGTGCTTACAAGGCGAGGAGCTTACAGGCTTGGTAAGCTGGAGGGAGAGGGCCTGGGATGCAAGCAAAGAAACTAAATAGCTGGACACCGCTACCAGAGCAGTAAATAAAAGATCTGTTAGCTAAATTTAAAAAAAAATAAATAACAAAACAAAAACAACAAAAAAGAGAGAGACCAAGGAAATTTATTTACTTTTTTATCTATGAACAGTATGACATATAATTATAGACAAGTTTTGATACACAGGAAAACCCTTTTGTCAACCATTTTTTTTGCTAAATGAAACAGCACAATAATCTTTACACATTCATATTTTGTTTTTTCTTTTTTTTTTCTTTACAATACACAGCTTTCTTGGGTTGAAGCAAACTGCAGGACATATTGGGTACTGGTATATTACAGCTACTTACATCATTTAAGAACAGCAAATGGAGAAAAATAAGTTATTTAAATATTGATTTCATATACAGAAAGTGCAACTTTGTTAGTTGTTACATAACTTGCTTGACAGTTTTGATTCCCCAGAGGGTGTCAATTAAAGATAAAAGTATCTTGGACCAAAAGTATTATTTATTCTAAAAATAATACAGTACAACTGCACAGCTGTGACTTGGTGAATCGACCACTCTTGCTGCTCTTAGAGATGATGACCTGTTTAAATAATGCAATGTTTAACGCTTCCGATCGTGCTCCCAGTTTGCATTCAAAGCCAGGCTCATAAAAGAGCACAGGGAACTACGGGCGCCGTTGCCACCTGGGTAGTAACTGAGGGTTATCGATAGAAGCTGGCGGTTATGATGGCATTTGGTAATATTTTGGGCTTGCTGCTTCTATTGTCAAATAGCTGTTCAAGTTACAACGGTACAATGGACAGGTAGTTAACATCGTTAGCCAGAGCAGAGCAGATTAGGATTCCAGCAGCAGGTTGCGGTCGTGGTTCCCAAGAGTCAATGAGCAAACTTTTGCTTAGGGCACAGAATGGCTGCGAGGAAACGTAAGAGGTTATGGCTCCCATACCGCAGTGCCTCACCTGCTTGGGAACGCCACCGGTCACTGAAACCACAGCAGGGATGCTCAAACACTGAGAAGCTTAAGGCTTTTTTAGATTAAAATATAAACTACAATTGTAATTCAAGTAAGACCACAGAGCACAGTCGTAAAAAGAAAAACAAAGGAACTGTTAAAACTCACAGATCTCAAAGTGCTCACTCCAGTCCTGATGGGTGTGATTTGGTTTCCCGGGGCTATGTAATCATTTGAAAATCATGGATTTACAAAGAGTGTTTGGCATACAGGCTCAGCTTATTCCTGTAATTCTCTTTCTGTTTGTTATTGAGGAAAGTAATACTTTGGGAGAGCTTCATTATGTGACTTGCCTTCCCTGCAGTATGAGGAAATTCGCCTCCTTTTTTATTGCGTGTAGCCAGCTTGAACTTTTCCCTTGCTCCTACGAAGCTGCTGTCTACTTACTTCTACCCAGTTCTGGCCCCTGCCAGCAATCCCAGGAAGCCTCCATACTCTTTCCACCTCCTGCTTACTGATAGTCGCCATGTAAGCCTCAGAGAGGAACAACAGACAAATTGTCATTATTAAAAAGGCATTTACTTTTTTTCCCCCCAATTTTCTTTTTTTTTTTTTTTCAGATTTTCACCAGCCGTCCAAAAATCTATGCTGTGTGTTTCCTGATGATGTCATATTAGAACATACTGATTATGCACACACTGAGGAGATTATTACAGAAAAAGAGCTGGAGGAGGTTTGCTTGAGAACAATTTCAGGTTACATCAGTGAATTAGTTGCTGTCATACGATGATGTGCAGCAGACAGCAAAAAGTAAACCTGACACCTATCAGTTCTACCAGAAGCCAAATTAATTCTCTGTAGTAAAATGTGTTCACCTGACTTAAAACATGGCCATGTAAGGACCATATAGAGTAAGGAAACATGGAGTAACCATAATTTTTCATTCATGAATCTGACGGCATTTTATCAGGAGAAGTGTCATTAGCTCAGCACGAGGCTGGGATAACTGAGGCACCAAATAGCAAAGTGCCTTGTCTGTTTTTTTACAGTAAGTTGATGTCAGAACTGATACTAGAAACAGCCACCCATCCTGGCTTGTGCCCGGGCTTCTACACTGCCTCCCTTTACCTGCCAGGGTAAGCGTGCTCTGTCTTCCACTGAGCGCTTGTGCTACAAGCAGTTGAAGGACACATCAAATAAAGACCCCGAAGAAAAGCTCGTTATGTCCTATTCGTGACAATCTGTATTTGGTATATAAAATGTGTACCCATATAGAAAAATAAAATCTGTCATTAGCCACATACGCGAATGGAATGTTTTACAAGGATTTAGGCAGAAAAATATCATCGCATCATGGAAAAATGGGTCACCACATATGCCAGAACAGTGCTCTCTTCCAGTGAGAGGTAACATTAACACACAGCCATGAGGAATATCAACTGTTGTAAAAATCACAGTTAATAATACTATATAGGATTTTTTTTGTCCATGCAATGGAATTACTGGATCTGATGATTTCTATGGGACACAATTTGCTTTTTCAATGCATTTTATCTCCAACAAGTGAATTTTCATTTACAGAAACCCACTGTTTGTAATTGATACGGTCAGGATACCAAGTCAAAGCTGCAGCATAATGATTGACAATATAACACAGTACACAGAGTATGATTAAAATGAAAAGCAGTTACATATATACAAGGCAGTATATCTTGGAACAGTTTAGTAACAACAGTAAATGCAGACTGTAGTGAACAAGAAGTTAGCCTGGCAACTGAAACCTAGCATAACCCTGCATCTGTAAAAGCATTCCTACCACACAGAAGGTGTTACAATGAGGCATTTCATAGAAGCTACTTCAGCTGGAAACGACCCAAGTGCAGCTCAAGGGTGACAGGCTGAAACAAGGCTTGGGAAACATGAATACAGGTAAGTGAACACTAGGTAACTGCTTAAAAGCTTATTTTAAGGCAAATAAAAAGGTGATTGCTAGAAAGCAGTTATAAAAATGACCTCAGCTCTGTACAAATAAAAAGAAGCTTTCTGACTCTCTACGGGTTAGTTGCATTGGAGTGACAGAGACGGACCTTACTGAAAACTAATTCCAGTCCGTTAACTTCGGCCTAGCTAAAGGCTTTGTGGCATACTGGGACCTATACCAAGCAACAGCAAAGATGACTGGGGGGATTTGTGCTTACCTCTAGACTGCTAAAATAAACAAAAGGCATTTGCCAAACAGCTTCTACTGGAATTCTCACCTTGGCTTTTACCTGGTCTTCAGGACTGACTCCAGGTACCTGGAACCTAGAAGTACAGAAGACCCCCAACCGAAGGACCTCTCCATAGAAACAGGGCCTACTACTAGTATTACTTTCACAAACTTGAAGAAAATGTGCAAGGGTCCATTAACTCTGCGAAGCCATCTGATTCTCAGGCCAACCCTGTGCACTTTATGAAACGAGAATACTGTACAGAGGAGTGAGGGGGGAGGGAAGTGCCACATCTGTGTTACCTGGTGGTTGCTTCTCTTCTCCTTCAGTTGCCAAAGACAGCAATAGAAACATCCCATATCCTTTGAAGAAGATAACTGCCTGTCCTTGGGAGCCACTTCCTTGATCCCTTTAGCTATGTGAAGTAATTAGAGCAATACTGGTGCAGGAAGAAGCAGTGGATTCTCGACCAGGCAATGCCACACTATGGAGCATGTTAAATTGCCTCTGGATCAAGGGGTTTGAAGAGTCTTGCCGCTGCCAGGAGCTTGCTTATGTGCCTTTCCTCTGTGATGCCAGCTTCTTGAAGGCAAGTTTGTGACAGAGAAGGCACTTCGCTCAGTGTGTTGAATCCTGCTTCTGTGAGCAGGGTGGAATACATAGGTAGGCCAATGGAAATCAGCCAGTCAGATACAGAGGTGATAAGTCCTGGGGATACAGGTTTTCGGCAAATTTCAGTGAGCCCTCCACTTGGAATCTGGACAGTAAAGAAAATACAAGAAAAGAATCCTTAATGTTAAACATAACTGCTTGTTTTACAGCAAGTCTTTTTTTTTTTTTTTTTTTTTTTTGTCCAAACTGGTAGAATTTCATAGCAGATGTTTCAACCTCTCTCACATCACATTTGTCAGCACGACAGTGGCGTGGGTTGAAAGGCGAAGATCACTTGGCACAGGAGTAACAGGAACAATTTTGGCAATGCAGATGCAGTGGGCAGTATCCAGCTGCTTGGACAACCATCATGTGCCATTCTGAATTAGTTTGAGATCAGTAAAAAATACCCAGTGACATGACTTTCCAGGGTGACCCATTTAATTTCTCAGCAAGGCAAGAGAATACCAGTTTTGCCTATTACCTCCTCAGATAGACCAAGTGCTCTTATAAAAAACCATGAAAGCTTTTGACAGTTTCCTCCTCCTGCTTTTGCTATGGAGGACTGGACAACAGTGTAGTTTGAGATATTAAAAAGGAGTGTAAAACCTTTCAGATTTCAATACCCAAGCGTTTAATACACGGCACCCTTAGCGAGCAAGTCTCTGTTACCAGTGCTTGCATTCTGCTTAGACTTTCAAGACTATGATTCAGTCGAGAGAGGGCTATCCGCTCTCCTTTCAACTGCTAACTGTCCTTCTTCAGGACAGGGGGAGGAACCTCCTGCCCCCTTTAGTATCCCTACCGACACTGTACCTGCTGGGTGAACACAGGGAGCACTTTTGTACCAGGACTTCACAGGTATCTGCCTTTACCAGTAGTCAATCCTTTTTAAAAGTCTGCTCGTAAATAAGAAAATCAGGTTTATGGAAATACTCACTGCCATGCGATGCTGCTTCCTCAGCTGCTTTACCCGGATCTGGTCCATGTTTGTGGCAACATCCTTTTCAGGCTGGTCTAAATCAGACACAAAGGAGAGAGGATAGATGAAAGAAACGTATCAATACAGAGCAATCAATGCAAACATAAAGAAAAGTGCAGGACGGGAGCAAGAAGCAGCTTTCCTTGAGATTCCACGAAAACTGAAAAAGCAATCCCTAGAGGAAGGACTGGACCTCAGGACTCCATCCTTCCCCAAAAGAAGTCCTATGTCCTATCACTATGTTATCAACCCAGATTTTCTTGGAAGCATAAAATCTAATCATGACTTCCTTTTTCATCTCTGCTTTCCCCCACTGGCAGAGAAAGAGACATTTCCTTGCCCACTGCCACCAAGGTACCAGTGCCTGAAAAGATGAAGGTTCAGAGTAAGTCCGTGATTTCTCAGTCCCCCCACAAGACAAGAGTTACTTTAGGCATAAGGCCTGATAGTAAAGACAAACATAGTTACAGAACATCTAATGTCCTAATGAATTCTCGTTTATCTAGGCTGGTTACTCACAAAAATACAACAAATACAATAAATGAAAGACTACCCCTTGGAATGCTAGTAGAATAATAACGCTGAAGCAACGCCCCTCACTTACCTTGTCAGAGTATGGTTCTTCAGTAAGATCAATGTCTTCAGACTGCAGCTTGTTTTCTATTACCATTTCCAGATCCATTCCCCTGCTACAAGAGACTTTCCTCGCTGAAGCAGGACCTAGCTTTACCACATGCTGCTGAACACTAGCAGTCTCTGGGAGCTCCGACAGCCAGGGTGGCAGCGGGCTGGGCGGGGTACTCAGCTCCGGTTCAGACGATATCCTATGGACAGGTACTCCGTGACAATCAATGGGAGCGGATGAGCTGGACTTTTTTACCGGCAAACATGGTGCTTCTAGACTTGAGTGGCTCCCACTTGCGGTCATGGGAGGATGATATAACCCATTAGAAAGGCGTTCTCGGCATTTTTTGGCAGGGACAGGTGGTGGCTGAGAAGGATTTTTTGGTTGCATTCTTGCCTCATTAGTGCCTTTTTGCTCAGCTTCTAGACCTCCCTTGAGGACTGGAGCATAATCAGCCCGTGCAAGGTCATGAAAGCCTTTACTTTGTATTTCCAGAGGCGTTCTTGTTGCAAGATGTGTCACTAAGGCAGACTGAGCTTCACAGTTTTTCAGGGGGAACAGAGCAGGCTTTCCACCTGCAGTCTCCACTACAGAGCAGTCCAATTCTTTAGCTCTTCCCTTCTGAGAACCAGCAGCTCCTTTACCCTGCTTCGGCATCAAGTCATCCACCATACAGCTGCCTCTGTAAGACTGAGGTGGCAGGGCAGAGCCAGTTGCCTTTTTTGCTATATCCAGTGAATCCTGAGGAAAAGAACCTACTTTCTTTCTAGTGTCCTGTAGGTTAGTATTGGATTCTCCCTGAAGATCATCCAGTGAGTGAGATCTTGGCCATGTATCTACACCTTGGGGGCCATCCAGAGTTTCATAGCTCCGGCAGACGGCAACTGGTAAACTTCTGCGGTTCTTCTTCAGACCCGTAATGGCTGGAGGTTTGACAGAGCTCTTCAGAGCACGATGTGCACAACTCAACCGGCTTTCTTTTTCCCCTTGCTGTAGAGTTTCTATTGACTTGGTCAGTGGAAGCGTAGGATAATTTGATAGCTGGTTTCTGCTGAAGTCCTTAAAGCTATGCTCACTTGCTGATTTTGAGGGCAGAAGACAGGTCCTTCGAGTTTTACCTAGAAGCAAATAATTCACAATCCACCATTAAAAAAAAAAACAAACAAAAAACTGCAGTGTAAATAATGGATAAGTTCTAAATGCCTTTGAAACAAAATTATTTACTTTCTTTTTGTTAACTCTAAATGTACAAGAACTCAGTGTCATTTTAAGCATATGAATTTGTGAGCTTCAGCTGTATTAACAAATTTATTAATGAAGAACTGGTAAAAGTGACCACATAAGGAAAATATATTTAAAATACTTAATACCCTTCCTGCTCCCCAATTTGCAGAGATTTGAGGTTTAGCTCATGTAAACCTTTTTCATTGCAGAAATATCCTACAGTCAGAACTGATACCCTATACCCACTATATGAACTGGTTTGACCCCACACAGAAATAACTCAAAAGACCTACCATTTTTTCCTACTTTTCTGATTTGATTAGGATATCAATAATTATGTTCACCTTCTAATGAAGTTCACTAGATTGCTCACGAAAGCTCCCCCCCCCCAAAAAAAAAGATCCCATTTGTTCATTTCAATCACGAAGTGTGCCAGCAGTGTTATTTCATCTCTTAAACGAGCAGCAAACTATTCGCAACGGCAAACCAGACAGCAAACAAGCATTGGAAGTGTGGTGCTGTACCAGTCCTTTTGTAAAGTTACTTTTAGGGACAGCAGAGTTTTATGGAAAAAGTTCTTATACTGTGAAATGGGTGTGTGTTTCAAGAGGGAGTTTCAAGCGTGACCGGTATTAGTGTTATTCTTATGTCATAGTGTTTTATCAAAGTGGAAGGTCTTAGAGATGTGGTATTTTATTATAACTGCTTAAGACGACGTGACATTAATTGATATGAACCACAGGTCTTTCGTAACCTTTATTTTTTTATGAGATACGTGCCACTGATTTTAAACAGTGCAGTCCATCAAGTCTGCTTGACAGAAAAGTTCTGATCGAAGGGACTGAGCTCATGAAGAGTATTCATTAGTATTTATTAGGTTATTTCTCAAATACTGCATAGATTTTTACTTTATTTTTAACAAGACAGAAGTAAATTTGTCTCCAGGCAGACAACTCTCAGAATGCCAGCACATCCTGAACAGTTACTGTTTTCTGGGTGACAGGGATAATTTCCCCCATGTACAGCAAGCTTTCTAAAATCAGGATAGATAAAGCTTGAAATTTCTTTTTCAAACGGGGAAAAAACCCAACCAAACAAAAAACTCAAACCAACAGATTTGGCTACATGGTGCAACACTTCTTCCATGCACAGGAGCAATGCATCCCCCTGAGAAAGAAATCTAACAAATGAGGCAGGAGACCTGCATGGTTAAACAAGGAGCTTCTAGCGGAGATCAGGCAGAAGAGAAAGGTCCATGGAATGTGGAAAGAGGGGCAGGCCACTTGGGAAGAGTACAGAAATGTGGTGAGAGCATGCAGGGATGCGACGAGGAAGGCCAAGGCCCACCTGGAATTGAAGCTGGCAAGGGATGTCAAAAACAAGAAGGGCTTCTTCAACTACATCAGCAGCAAAAGGAAGGCTAGGGACAATGTGGGGCCGCTGCTGAATGAGGCAGGTGTCCTGGTGACGGAGGATGCGGAGAAGGCAGAGCTA